TCATGCCTAGTACACAATGTCTCTTGCCATGCGATCCAGCGTGCCAAGGCTAGTATCGCAAGCAAGCAAATCCAGGTCTGGGAACTCATTTTGGATTCGATGTCGCGAGAACGGAATAGCGGTGATATGCGTAGCTCCCTTTTGGAGTTGTGTGACTTGCTTGACATAGTACTGCTGCGGTACGCGTTCAACGTTTTCGTTACTAGCAACACTTCCCTCTCTTTCTAACTGGTCTTCGAGAAGGGAATACACATCGTTATCGAGCGTTTCGGTAAAACGACCCCAGATGAGGACTTTGAGGTCAGGACACAAAGCGTGCGCCCATTCAAAGAGCATTGTGGCGAGCTGCTGGGTCTCGGCTTCTACTTCTCTTCTCGGCTGGTCGGGATCGATAATTCGAAGACGGTCCTGGTAGAGATGCAACATTTTCAAGTTTTTGAGCTTGCCAATTGGTTTCTAGCACAAATTGTCAATACTTCCATAGTAACAACCCATGTGACTCAAACTTACAAGTTGTCCAAGGACATATTTCTGTCTGTCGTGCGCATCGGCCAGGAGACACCCCCCTATTTCCGCGACGCGCAACCCAAATTGCTCCAAAGCCCCAAGCTCATTGCAAATTGCATCCAGCGATGCTATGGAAGGAAAATAGGCAACCCTCTTTTCCACAGACCACAAATCGAACAACGAAAGAGACTTTAGCCTGGGACATAGCGACCAGATGTATGAGTTAATAGTCGACCCATCATCTGCAAGCATTGGCTCCAATGGCACTGTTTTCAAGAACCGCATATGAAGACTCAAGTGCTGTAGATTTTGGTTCCGCGTAAACAAATCTTCAAAATCCATGCTCTTTCTGTCGTCAAAACTGTCCGGAGAGTGAAAGTCGAAATGTGTCAGGTTTCGTAGCTCTGGGGAGCTGAAAAGCGGCTTCCAGTACCAGAAATTGTCTGCGTAGAGAGAAAGTCTAGTCACGTGGGAGAGATTGAAGATGTGAGGTATAGCGGAAACGAAACCTCCGGGTAAATAGCCATCGAACATCAATTCGCGAGAGACGATCTGTTTGTTCTGGAAGAGGGTGCTGTAGGAGCATCTGCTCCAGTAGTCTTCGAGCAAAAAAACGTCAAAGTTTTTCGGCAAGAGCAGGGCGAACTTTTCCAGTCGAGGTAATGTCTTAGCGAGCTCTACGAGGCCGAATGCTTCTTGCCCATCTCCACAGACTCCGGCTGTCACGCGCTTAGTCGTGGGAGTTACAAGCTGCTGGAAGTTACCATGCGATAGTTGAAAATCGACAATCGACTGTTGCTGTTTCTGTAAAAGATTAATGATAGATGGGTCTAGATCGAGTTGTGAAAGATAACTGCGGATATTGAATTAGCCAAGAGAATCTTCTGTGTAGGTACTCGAATTAGGCAGCGCGGGATTGAAAGCGTGCCGGTGAAAAAGGGGAAAGCTAACCGGAACGTGATCAATTTATTCGAAGGAAACGATTGCAAAATCTGCAACAACAACGCGTTTCTCTCGCCATGGATCCACGGCGCCTTGTTGGGCAAAATCCTGTTGCATTCAAATATTGGGACATCAAGCAGACTGAGATTTCGCGCGTACTGCAAGTGCCTGCATGCGCCAACTTGCAGGCATCTGCGGAACAGTGGGAGCTGGCCATTGCGAGTCCTAATGTCGAGCACAATGTTCTGGTACAAGACTTTTGTCGCGACAAGATTCCAAGACTTTGATGTTAAGCACAGTGCCAAAAGATCTGGGTAGAGGCCGACCTAAACTGCCGGCGTCAGCGATGTTCTGTTGCACATCAAGGGCTAGGTGCTTTTGCCGGTGCGGGGTAGTGGGCATACATAATCCAACACCATCAACTGAACATCTGTAGGAAGATATGGAAGTTGGCTCATCTCGTCCATGATTGAAGCCTGGTGGTAGAGGTTGCTCCAATCTGCAAAGGACGGTGTAAGTAATGGCTGAGGGGACGAGCAATGGAGCAGTTTTGGCGAGTGGATCTCATTCGCCAACCGCGCGCCGTGTCTTGCACAATACATAAGTAAGTGGTGACCTGTAGGATTTAGCTGCGGCTTGTGCACGTACGTCAGAGTGCAGCAGTGTCACAGATTGAGCAAATCAAACGTCAATCCTTCCAAATAAGCATCCGGACACCTCACCTCCTTGTCCAAAACAAAGTAGTAGTAGTAGTGGTGGTGGTGATGGTCTGTGCCTACTTCTCCAACCCAGCCGGCAGCGCAACCGCAATCTGGACTAGGGCTATTGTAGTAGAGAAGATCCAGCCGAGTAGTAGCAACTATGTGCATGGAACAGCGACGTGTATCTCTACAAGGCCACCATCTCAAGCAGCGTGTCAACTTGATGCTGGCACGGTTCACTGCCACTTTTTTTGATCAGGAGGTGCGGGGGCACAGGGGTAGGTTATAAGATAACAGGGGGATCCTGGCAAGAAATACCGACATATTCGTCCGCTCTTCGGGCGAGTTCACACATGAACAGTACACCTTGTATTCCACAAGACAACCAACGGGAGAGGGAGCAGAGTGTGTCTAGCATTGCACGTCATAGTTCGTATTTCAAAAGTGGTACAAGACATGCGACACTAACATTCATGATGTTCGCATTGTCTTGGGATGATGTTCAAGCAAACGCGCCTTACTGCGCATTGGGCCTATACGCCGGCATTCCATTCTTCTTTCCCCAGCCCCTGACCGTCCTGTTCAAATCTGGTGCTATAAACAACCAGGCAATCGCTGCTACAATCGCTCCTATTCCATCAATCACCCAGTTGTTCTTCTGACTACCAGACAAGCTGCCCCAACGCATCAGGTGTACCAACCAATTTGTTGGTATCATGAAATTTCCACTTTCTAAGCCTTTGACGCAGCTGGTGGCTGCCTCAAGCTCGGTTTGCTTGGGATCGGCAGCCTCGAGCTCAAAGCTAACGGCATGCTTTGTCTTGTTCTCGTTCTCAAACCCTGGGGATAGTATGTTACCCGGGAATACAATGTGAATGTTTACATCGAATGGCGCGGGTGTGGTGCCCGTGCTGGCGTTGGAATGGCGCGCTGAGTTGTAGATTTGGACCTCTGAGCGGAGTCCATCAGCGAGGTTGCGGAGGGCAGCCTTTGCTGGCGAGTAGGGCGAGTAGCCTGCAATGTTGATGAAGGCAAGTGAGGATGATGTCATGATGAATTTCCGCGGTGCTTCCGGGGCCGCGTTCTTTTCCTGTGGGCTATATGGCACCTCGGGATACAGCCAGGCTTGCAGCGCCTTTTGTGCCATGTATGCTGTCGCAAAGTAGTTCAGTTCCATCTGTTTTCTCAGCGTGTCCGTGCTTGTCTCGATGAACAGTCCGGGAGTTGAAGATCCAGCAATGCACCAGACAATCTCGGGCACGCGGCCATTATTCCAGACTGTTGCTTCCTTGAGGATACGTGCATTCTCAGACTCGGAAGTTACGTCGGCCGCAATGTACGTGAAGCGCTGGGTGGAGGGGTTCTTTGCGCACGACTTTGCGCGTTGGACAGCGGTTTCGAGGTTCTTTGCTGTGCGTGCGACCAGTACAAGATTGGCTCCCCGGGCAGCAAGGAGACAGGCAACCTCACTGCCCATGCCCTGCGATGAGCCGGTGAGAAGGACGGTCTGCAAGATGTGAGCATTGGACGTGTTGACCAGTATACCAATGGACTTGCCTTGCCATCAACGGGGAAATGATTGCTCATGGAGAAGCTGAAACCCATGACGCTAAAGCTCACCAGCCCGATGATGAGCACGAGGGCAGCTCCGATGAGGAATTGAAACATGAGGGGCGTGCGGCGGGGTCCCTCAGAGGATTTAACTAAGTCGAAACAAGTAGCGCCTGGTGGTGCTTACGGCGTAGTAATCATTGCGCCTGGTATGCTCCTGTGTTGTAGGATTATCGCACCATGCACCTTGGTGGTGAGAAAGAGACCCTAGCAACTTGTGAGTGGCCTGTAGATTGCTTTGGTGGGGCGGCGTGCCGCGTGGGGCGTTGCGCCAGCGTCCATGGTAGCGTACTGTGGCGGTGTAAGGAGGCATTGCGGAAAGTGTTAACACGCACTGCATCTCTTCTCGCCAAAAGACAATAGCTGTTGCTGTATGTGAAAACGGGACAGTTTGGCCAAAACCTAATGATAATGTGTAGTGTTGTATCTGATAAGGCTTCCACTTGTTGCTTTTAAGCATCAGTCAAATGCTATTTACCTCTGTTCTAATAATGCGGCTTACGCTACACTCAATACCCACGGTCCTTAGATGGCTTCACGGACATGGCAAGAAGTCGCATCAGGGAACACCAGACTAGTAACTCGGCCAGAACCAGACCTAGAAGTCATCGGCTGTAAAGCTTTTACTCTTCACTTTTCCGTTGCCCGCTTTACACTTTGCGCTTTTCAACAGCTATTCTTCCACATTAAAGTAACATTCATTACAGAACAGAGGATCACATGTAGGTGATCAAGTATCTTCGTGTCGGTGGTACACATGTTTATCTAGTGAAGGTATAATTTCGAAGATGGAAGTATCTGCAAAGAAAATGTCGCTCCGGTGCAAACATCCAAAGCGTCCAGAGTACATTCCGGGTACGGTGGTAAATGGGTAGGGGTTGTGTCGGTGGTGGGTTGCCAAGACCTGGGTCGGTGTTGGGTTGGGGTTATTAATTATATAAGACCCAACCTGACACCGACCCAAGTCTCAGCAACCCAACCCTACACAACCCGCGGGTAGGGGGTACCCATTTACCAGCGTAATTCCGGGTCTCCACTGTCATACCGGATACTTGGCCTGCAATGAGTACACTCATGTATCTCTCATTCGTGGGTTACATGTCAGGTAAGCGAGAGATGTGTATGGGTCGAAAAGCAAAGAAAGAAAAAGTCAAAGATATAAGAACGCAGCGTTAGAAGACGTTTCATCTGCAATTCTTGAAAACATATTGCACCAATATCTTCTATCTTACAGTGCACACAATGAGACTCTCTTGGATTATCGTCGTTTCTGGTCTTTGCACCACATCCTTTACCTATGAGACCCAACAGGTCATGGGTGGGCCCGAACTTGGCAGGCTACACCTCGGCAGCAACGAGTACAAGTGCGAGAATGGCAAGCTAGCCAAACCGTGGTAACATCAAGCATAACTGACAGGCAACCATAGGTGCGACACCTTCGTTCGCCTGTACGGACCCCTTGGCAGACAAACCAAACTGCTCGTGCACTTGCACAAATGGCATCACCTTCGACCAACCTCTCTCTTTGGATTCCCAGAACTGCCCGGGTACCCCTGCATACGACTGCCAAGTGGAGAAAGACGAATGCGCCAGGCAAGAACAAGTGTTGAAGGATGAAATCACCAAGAAAACGCAAGAGTATAACGAATGCAAAACGGAGCTTTCAAAATGCGTGCCTGCACAGATAAGAAGCCGCTACAGATACAAAGGCTGCTTCCAAGTTACCCCGGGGAGCTTATTCCTGCCAGGTACTAGATCATCAAGCGATGTCATGACAGTCGAGCTGTGTGCGGTGCATTGTCAGGCTCACCGACACTTCGCTACGACAAACGCTAATGTTTGCTTTTGTGGTGATAAAGTCGTGGGAACGGCACCCGAGGTCAAGCATTCAGACTGTAACAGCCCGTGCATAGGTGACAAGACGGAGATGTGTGGGGCTTTATGGAAGTTCAGTTTGTATACGAAGGTGGCCTGAGTGGATTTGATGGCCAATGTAGCGACAATAGGATCTTGCAGAGCAGCACCTAATGCTGCCTTCTTTTCCAGAAGATTTCTTGATAGAGAAGTAAGGGGTAGGATGGACGTATTTATGTGTAGACCGACCATCGTATCTTTATGCTCTATAATGCATCCAAAGTAGTAGTTGTGCACTTCCCTCCTCAGAAAAATATCGCCTCTGAGCATACTACAATGTGTAAAATGCCTCTCAATGGACTAGGCGTGACCGACATTTCTCAACTGCTCATCTCTGCAAATGGTGTTGACGAATGGAGAGTGGGCCACGAAATGGGACCCCTGCAGATGCGCTTGAGCTAATCGTGGCTGGCTGCCGAGCAGCCAAGTGGGTCGCTTTCGATTGCCCGCGGAAATGCCAAGACTTTGCTCGGAAAAAAAGTTGGGCGCGCGACAAAGACGACTGCGACAACGACTGACGAATATCGCCACGACACAGCAGAGCGGCGCAATCATGGCTAAGAAGAGAAAGGCAGGTGGTGGCGCATCTGGCGCATCCAAGGCGCCAAAAGAAGAGGACTCGCGAATGAGGATCAATACCTTTGAGGATGTCGCCGATTCCGAGGACGAATTCCACATGAACCGCGACAAGGTGCTGCTGGATGAGGGACCTGCCGCCAAGAAGATGCGGAGGTACCAGGAAGAAGGTTGGTTTCTAGATGATGGCAATTTCTACGAGTAGTCGCTGATATTATATCCAGATAAATTTCTTCAGCCCTCAGATGAAGAGATCCTCGATGCTGGAAGCGACGACGATGCCTCAGACGATTTTGACGACGACGTCAGCGATGCCTCAGACGACGAGACTTCTGGAAAGCGCAAGCCAGCCGGTGAGGAAGACGAAGACGAAGAACTCGGAGCATGGGGCGCCTCGAAAAAGGACTACTACGATGCTGACGCTATCGAGACCGAGCAAGACGCTCTGGACGAAGAGGCAGAAGCCAGACGCATACAAAAGAAGCAGCTACAGAGCATGACTGAAGCTGATTTTGGCTTCGACCAAGACGAATGGCTTGGGGAGGACGCTGAAGAGAATGCCGAAGGCGCCGCAGTGGTTACTGAGGTTCTGCCTCAACTCCAAATCACAGATGCCATGTCACAGGAGGAAAAGATGAAAATTATGCGGACACGATACCCAGAGTTTGAGCACATTTCCAAGGAATATCTGCGACTGCAACCCCTGCACGAGGAATTGGCCGCTGCTGCTAATGCTGCTGAGAGGGTGCTGAAGGCGCAGGCGGCAAAGAATAACAGATTGGTTCCTACACCCATGGTCATCACAAAATACCGGGCATGCGCAGCGTATCTCGCTGCAATGGCCATGTACTTTGCTGTTCTTGGCTCCACTGCTACAGATGATGCGACTCCAGCCATCGCACTAGATCCTGTCGAGTTACATGAGCATCCGGTTATGGAGAGCTTACTGAAGTGCCAGAAGATGTGGACACGGGTGGAGAGCCTGCCCATTGCCGATCCCATGGTCGAGACGGAAGATGGCGATGAGGCTTCCGAGGATGAGGCAAGCTTTGCAGAGAGCGACAACGCCGATCTGGCTGTCAAGAAACCCACGAAGCAGAAAAAGACCAAGGCGCAAAGAGCAACCGAGATTGCGCAGGCAGAAGCAGTAGCACGACGTGCTGCGAAATTGGCCAAGGCAGAGCAAGATCTCGCGTCGCTCGATACACTTGCAGACAAGGCTGCGCTCAAGAAAGCAGCGCGAAAGAAGAAGACCGCACAACCCAAGCTTAACCTTCTCAACGCCGACGACTCAGACTTTGGTGAAGAGACAGCCCTCACCGCCCACGAAGCCGCCGAAAAGGCAAAGAAGAAGCGCTCCCTCCGCTTCTACACTTCTCAAATCGCCCAAAAAGCCAACAAGCGCGATGCCGCAGGCAAGGACTACGGCGGCGATGCCGACGTCCCCCACCGCGAACGTCTCAAGGATCGACAAGCCCGTCTGCAAGCTGAAGCTGAGAAGCGCGGCCAACACAAGGACGCCGGCCCAGGCGTGGCACTCAGCGACGACGATGGCGCATCTTCTGCGGATGAAGACCCTGGTACCCGCCGAGACGACTATGAAGACGAAGACGGCTACTATGACATGGTGGCCGCCCGCTCCAACGACAAAAAGCAAGCCAAACTCGAGCGTGCAGAAGCATATGCCCTTGCTAAACAACAAGGTGCTCAAGTCATTGAAGAGGAAATCATTGGTGATGATGGACGGCGTCAGATTTCTTATCAGATTCAGAAGAATAAGGTATGCTTCCTTTTGTTCGCATGCGCAAGGCTTCGTACACTTGCGTCATGGAGTTTTTGTTGGGGGTGATACAAATGCTAACATGATTAAAACAGGGATTAACACCGCATCGCAAGAAGAGTGTACGCAATCCGCGTGTCAAGAAGAAGGAAAAGTACAAGGAGAAGCAGAAGAAGCTCAAGAGTATGAAGCAGGTGTTTGATAAGAGTGCTGCGGCCAAGGGGAGCGCGAGTTATGGTGGTGAGCTTACGGGTATTAAGAGCGGGTTGGTTAGGAGTAGGAAGTTGTAGAGAAAGAGACTTTTTTTGCGTCGCTCTGGTTACATTTGTATGATCAGAGTAAAGAGGCAAGTGTTGACGACCAAAAAGCCATTATTCATCTTGCGAGAGAGAGAGGATCATACTATTCAAAGATTTATTCATCCCATCCTTTTATATTTTCTCTTAAAACGCCGTGCAAGAAAATGCTGCGATATTTCCATATCGAGGACAATACGAAGGAAGAAAAAGTACACAGAAATATATATCACTTGCCTCTAACACCACAACCTCAGTGTTCCATCCGCACCCGCAGAAACACACCATGGCTCCCTCGGATGCCAATCCAACGCCATAACACCCAACTTACTCTTCACCTTATGTCCCTTGAGCACCTTCAACGGCACAATCGTCGCGTTCTCCATCAAATCACCCACGACCTTGCCGTGGAAAACCTGAATCGTGCCGTCATCCGACGTATCAGCAAACAGGGGCAGACCACCCTGATGAAACTTGACCGAGCGCACTGCCTCCTTGTGGAACCGCATCGTCTTGTATGGTTTAGTGGAGAGATCCATGTCCATCCAGAGGACACGCTTGTCATACGAACTGACAATGAGATTGTCGCCACCAGGGTGCACATCGATGTTGGAGATCCACTTAGCGCCGGGCTGCAATATCTTGACGAGTTCCTGTTTTGCGAGATCGTAGGCACGGATGGTGTTGCGGGTTGCTGCGAAGAAGATTGCCTTGGATGGGTGGAACTGCGCTGTTTGGGCGAGACCCTTGAGGCGGCGGAAGGGAAGTTGGGTGAGGTGTTTGGAGACGGCGTGGATGGCGATTGCGGTGGATTGGCCGCGGGGGGAGACGGTGGTAAAGTATTCGCCTTTGCGGTGCCAGTTTAGGACTTTGATAGCGGAGCGGACTTGCACTTGGAGGAGGACGCCCTTGGATTCGAGGCGTGTACCTGGGCGACTCCATTTGCCAGGGGGTTGTTTGGGAGCATCTTCGCCTTTGGGTGTTGTGGCGCCTTTTGTGGCGGCGTAGCCCCAACCTGCGTCGAGGACGTCGCGGCTGGCTTGTTCGATGTCGGGGGAGAGAAGGGTAAAGGGGACGATGAGGAAGACGTTCTCGCCACAGGCAGCCGCGACGATAGATGCATCCTTTGTGGGCCTCCATTGTACGGCGTCGACGGCCTCTTCGTCTGAGAGCTTAGCATTCCAGACTTGTCGGCCAGTCAGAATTTCCCAGATTCGAATGTAGCCGTCGTCGCCTCCACTGGCAACAAAGATGCCGTGTGGATCAACAGAGACGCAGCGTACGCGCCCTTCTTGCCCACGGAAAATCGCAGCACATGTTGTAGGGAAAGGCTTGAGTTCCTCGGGGTTCGGTAGCTTGGGTAGTAGGGATTCCGGGTCGATGTTGAGTCGGTTTCTTCGTACACGAGGAGCCAGGTAGAGGTCCAGACTTCGCTCGAATCGTTCCTTGACAAATGTCTCGTAGCCGGGAACTTTGCGTAGCGCATCGTAGTTCTTAGGCAAGAATTCCCTCTCTCGGTCCTCTTCGTCTGCCTCCAACCATGCCTTCTCCTCATCCTTGTCTGGTAGGTACTCGGGTGGTGGGTGATAACTTGCTTCGTAGCCTGGCGGTGGCAGCTTAGGAGCGGGAATATGCATTGTGTTGTCTGGCCGGGGCTTCTCGTCGGCCCAAACGTCAAAGGTGAACTCATCCTGCTCTTCTTCCTCTTCTTGCGGCGGCTTGTAGGGTTTGATGCGACCCTCTTTGATGGCCTTGACAAGCTTCATGACACGCTTGGCCTCGTGCTTGGAAGGAATGAACCGCCGCTTGGGCTCGGGCGCAGCGCTCAGTGGCATAATCTCCTGCTTGCCGGAGAAGTAGGCGACCATTTCCGGGTAGGGATCGTAGCCATCCTCGACAACCTCATTCCTTGTGAGCCTCTTGAGAACGTCCAGCTCCTCTTCCGACAGGTTCAACGGCTTTCCTGTCTCGGGATCCGTCAGACCTGTCCAGCCCTTGGGTATGTCAATGCTATCCAAAAGTGCATCCAATGCCTCTCCCTTCGCCGGGCGCATGATCTTCTTGCCGTTGATATCATAGCCGATGTGGGGATATTCGTCGTAGTACTTGAGGTCAATATTGCCAATTGTGTTTGTAGCTTCGGCATCGGAGTCGTCCGACTCGTAGATTGGGTCAATCTCTTTGTACAAGTAGCGGGTGTTGCCGTGCGCGTCTGTGGTTACAGTGTAATTGGGCTTGAGGTTTTCGTCGTCGTCTAGCTCTGCGCTTGCGCGAGTATCGAGGTCCATCTCATGGGTCGGTAATCCCTTCTTCTTTCGCAAAGGTCCGTCGGAGGTGTTGAGGTTGCGCATTTCCTCACGAATTTGCTCTTCATCACTATTCTCCTCTTCCTCTTCCTCATCCTCTGCA